CTGAATTGTTCACCATCTCTTGAATGTGTGCCAGGTTTGTAGCATTAACAGTTAAGAAAAATTTGCACTAACTAATAAATAAAATGCAAATTATAATTAGTTTTAATACCATATAAGCAGAAATAACACACGTGGGTGTTATTTTGAAAACTGGATCCTTTAAAAATAATTTATATGGTCTCGAATTAGCACTCATTTATGTCCTGGATTAATAGCATCCTAATTTGCACATAATCTATTGTTGTGATAAATGATGTACAGTTGATACTCCAGATGCGCATGCTCTATAAGTGCACTTTCTCTATAATGATAAGTGCACATAATTTGATCGGTCTAATGTAATTATTTGATATTATGCATAATGATTGTTCCCTATAATGAATATTTTATAAATGTACTTTTACCTAACAGCATGTATTTATGGAAGGTTAATTGTATTGAATTTAAAAATCTTCTCTTATTTCGAAATAAGGCATATGGGTGTATTTTAAATAAAGCACAGATCAATCAATTAGTGCACAGGTGGGCGTTAATTCGCGCTTATATGGTAGATATTTTACATCTCTTACCGTATAATTTGACCATACAACTATCCAGATCTTCTATAATTTCTAAATATTTATTTTAAAAACTATTAGCTGTATGGATTGGTCATTATGATAAAACAAATACCATAAAATATTCTAATTTATGCCCTGATCTTTTCTATGTTTTTGAGAGTCATATGCCCAAATTGATAAAAAAAATTCTTTAAAAAAAATCAATTATCTTGTAAATTATTAATCATAATTGTATGATTTTGGTACTATCTGATTCATCTCATTGAGAGAAATCGAATAGTACTAAAATTATACAATTCTGATTAATATTTTACAAGATAATTGGTTTTTTTGTAAAGAATTTTTTTTATCAATTTGGGCACTTTTCCCAGAACACTGCCCATATTTATTCTTGCAGCCAGCCATGAAACACATATTTTTAACATTAAAATAAATTGATGATTCGAAATAAATGAAGAATGTAAGTTGTACCTTATTTTTTACACAAAAAAAAAAGATTGGCTAGATAAACTTACAGTACAAGGTACATTAAAATATACCTACAAAATCATGTGCATGATTCTCAAAATACATGCGTATACCATTACTAGTTCTAATAATAATAGACAGGGTTGAGTATTTGTTTAGAGTTAGAGATGCGATCCGGGATAAACTGCCAAAATGCTGCTGATATTTAGCAAGTATTTGATGGATCTATGCAGACTACAAATTATATAGAATTATTGCAAGAAATACACTAGCTGTCACATCACAGCCAATTTTCAATTTTGATTGGCTAAAAGTGATGATTAAAAATCTATGCTGAAATTACTCAAAATTTTACTAATTAAATCACAGCTGCCTGTTTAGTGAAAATGTTCCTGGGCTAATTTTACCATAGTATAGGCTTATTTTCCTAAAAATTTCTATTTTTGTAATAAAAAAATTAAAACCCAATTCCAGCCAAAATACATAACAATTGTATAATGTGAGCCAAAATTTTGTAGACCATGGCAGTTAGCTAATTATAATTGAGAATTTGTCATGGCAAAATTGGTGTAATAGCTAAGATATTTTTATTGTAAGATAGTAAAAGACAAGTATGCTTTATTTAACTATCGTGATTTTTTGATAATTATAAATATCATGGTTTCAAAATATACTCAATTTCAATAATTTTTTATTTTACTTTATTTAAGAATTAAATAAAAAAATACAATATTTAGAATTAAAATAAAAAAATATACTGTGTTTAATTAAGTAGTTACAGAAAATATTCAAAATTTAATTCGGCCAATTTACATTTTCAAACCAGTCTAATTCTGGTCAAATTTGCAAATCGTTTGGCCTATCGTGGATGAGCTTTAAATTCATCCAATAGGCCAAATGATCTACAAATTTGACCAGAATTAGATTGTTTTAAAAATGTAGATCAGATCTGCAATATTTTGATTATTTTGATTGGCTATTAACAGCATGTGACCTGAACTTTTTTTCGCTATGACCAAGGTACTCTAATATTTATAACTGTATAACATATAAAAATATAATTATTCAGCACTTGTTTATAAGTTTGAATGAAAAATTGATTAAAAAATTGTTCAAGTAATTTATCGGCTATAGCCGGCTACTAGTCGATAGTCGATGATAGCTGACCGATAGCTGACCTAGCTGACCGAACCCATCTCTAGGTACATATCAGGAATGGTATTGCACCTGATATTCATTGATTCAATTTGTATAATGTAAATAAGAAATGTGAACAGCTCACATTAAATACTTAGATCAATTAGACCAATGAACAATTACTAAACTTAATCTAAGAGTACTCAATGTAATTAGATAGCTATCAATATCATTTATAGTACTACGATTAATTGAAATGATCCCTTCTATAACAAAAAAAAAAAGGCTTCAAATTTATTTTTTTTATCACGATAATGAACCTACTTACCAGTTAAACTGCTTTCTAACAATTAAAAATCGAGTTCTGATCTATAATTTATGTGCTTGAGAGTACCTTAAAATAATATAAATAAAATTGAAAAATACTTAATTGAAATATCATGTGAAACCTGACATTATATGACAGAACTTTGTAGACCGATTTCAACTCATTAAAGATTTTAGAGCCATTAATGCTTGTATGGCTTCTTTAAATACTATATTGCTTTAAAATCATTATTACTTTACTGTAGCAATGTAATAATATTAATATAAAGCTTACCAATATCATTTACCACAACTTAAGCTATGCTCTAGCCATATCACAAGTCATGGCTTCAATAATTATGATCTAATCTGGAACTAGGACTTTAAAAAGCGATTCAGTTGCAGCTAATGCTCAGACATAGGCTTTGGTCGGCTTGGCAGCCAAAACCAGATAAATTAAAGTTATGTCATTAATTAAGGTTGGATTACTAATTATTTTTTTTTACAATACAGTAAACAAAGAAATGGTTGTAATGAAGAAGAGTCATGTGAACTGATTTCAGCCATTACAGCTTAAATTCAAGACTTTTGCGCTAAAAATCCACATTTGGCTAGTGAATTTAGAAAGACAATAATAAAAACAAGCGCATTTTTATAAATGATCATCATGCATTTTAATCGAGACAAAAATCTGTTAAAGTTCGCTCTTATGGTAAACAAATCTCATACAAGATATAAATATAGTAGCATGTGATGAGTTTCATAATGTTTAAGCACAAATATTCCCTTTTTTACTACATTTAGCATATTGCCCAATCAGATACATATGTATGAGATTTTGTGAACATACTAATATATTATTAAAAATGCCATATAACCATACACTTCGTGAAATTTTCAATATCACTCCATTCCTTGTATATACTTCGTGATATTGCATATTACTCTGTTTCTGATATTCATGATATTGCATATTACTCCGTTCCTGGTATTTGTGATATTGCATATTACTCCATTTCTGGTATTTATATTGCACTAATTTAGTTCATAACGTAACCTCATTCAAAAAGCCCAAGTTATGCAAAAACACAAGGTCATACTAATCGTTGCACACTATTCCTGATATAGAGCAGAGGCATACAAATAGAGATATAATCATGTGAACAGGTTGTCCAATCGGAATCAAAATAGCTACACCACTTAACTTGCCTGTAAACCATACACTTCATACTTTGTACTCCGTTCCTGGTATATTTAATTTTATATTTCTTGAAAATTCAAAAAAAGATGCATAATCTTGGATTTTTGAACAAAAAATTTAAAATTAAGCACCTTTTTTTTTAAATTTTAAAAAATCATAGTAGTTTAAGAAAAAGATAGTTTATTCTTAAGTAGACATTGGACTTGGGTTGGATATTACCCAGTTTATCTGCAGATAGTTGAATATCTTGGTTGTAATTACAGCTACCGTATTGTCATGAAATAACAGGCTGGGGCGTTATTTAGAAAATTGTACACCCTAAAAATAGTATAGATGGTTTCGAAATAACGCCCTGGCGCGTCTCAAAATAACGCGCCCCTATATATAGTTGTTAAGTATGAAGATCGTTTATTATTAAATTAGCGATTTAAATAGAATATAACTTTTTACATTTGAGAATTCTTGTTACTTAAGATGCCGTTATTTTGATTATTACTATATCATCTTAATTAACGTGCATATAAAAATCAGAATTCATACTTGTAAATATTTATCACTATGCACTAAAAAACATATTAAAACTCAAAATTCTTTTAAAAACTTTATTCAATTTATTAAAGAAAATTTAGCAAAAAATTTGTATACATTTATTTATCTATAATTTTTGAACCATATAAATGTGTAGAATATTCTTGGACTTTGACATTTAGCGCAGAAAAAGGCATGGACATCAAAAATATATAGCACTAACTGATATCATAAACCACAGTTTCGCATTTACCATGAATTATTGCATTTAGCGGATTAGAATCATAGAATGGTTTTTACTTAAAATAAAATAACACCACCTTATTTCTTAAAAGAACTACAACTGCTATATATAATTAATATAATAATTAAAAAAATAATAATAAAATAAATAATAAATAATAAAAATTAAAAACTAAAAGGAATACCATGTACAAATAAACCGTCGGTGTTTTTTTTTTCAAAAAAACCATTCAAATAGAACTAATTTAGTATAAAACATTATTCTTTTTTGGATTTTGCACAACATAAATTGTACTATCTAATACGTTTACAAATATAGTTAGCTAATAATTAACTGAGAATTAAAAAAAATTAAAAAATTCAAATTGAAAATTTTTTATAAATAAAATCTTACCTATATAGTTTGTTCGAACCTATTTAATCTAATGACTAAATACTTCTAAAATTAATAGTTAGTTACATTAAACACTAATAACAACTCTTTGATAATAAGATAATTCGTGAATATAAATTTGCTCTATGCTCTAGATATCTGTTTATTCATTTGTTACTCATTATTAATCAAGATCCATTGATTCATACATTTGCATAGCTTCATTATCCATAAAACTTTCATAATCAAGATCTATTTGCATAGCTTCATTACCCGTAATACTTTCATTATCATAGTCAGGTTCAGTATTATTATCATAGTCGGGTTCAGTATCATTTGAATCATTATAATCCCATGCACCATCATTGTTGTAATTCGACTTGTTTTCAGAATGTGTATCTTCAATCAGTGATTCATCAGGATTGTTCTCAGTAATAGCCCGGAGACATTTTGACAATTTATTATCTTCACTTCCATTAGGGTTAAGTATAAGACCTGTAGCTTCGAAAGATTTAACCAAAATATTTGTGCTGATTTCTCTCCATGTCTTTGCAATCAATTCACAGACTAGTTCATATGATACTTTTTTTAAGTTGCCTTTTTTAGTATGTTCTTGTTTTTCTTTATCCATCTATTCCTCTCATTTTCTTTTCATCGCATCTTTAAAAGGTTTATTTACTGAAACATCGGGAGGCTGCAAAACGCTAGTTGTCCCACCTGGTATTTGCAAAACCTCTAAGCCCTCTATATTCAACGCCTTAAGTACATCATCATGAATATAACTACGGTGTTCATCAACAAAAAGTATACCCTTACTCTTGAAAAATCCATTTGGCCTTGCTCGAATCACTCGGGGAATGTAAGTAGAAATCATTAAATCTCCTGTCATACAAGTAGAGGGTGCAGTTGCTACTATAATATCTCGTGGAAATTTGCCTTTTGGGATTTTCTTTAACTTAAAAATTACCATCGGGGGGAGTTTTTTTCCAGCAGCAGTATATCCTAAAACTACAGTAAAACGTAATTTTTCATTTCCTGTAGTCTTAATTGGTACTTTGTAAACACCTTTAAAATCTATTGTTGAATCTCGTGGCATATCAAAGTACATAGGAGTTTCATCAAAAGATAAACCAAATTTTTTGTCGATATTATAAATTTTTTCACGTGAACTTTGAAGAAAATTTCTAACGACTATAGGTATATCTTTAGGAATTTTTTAAGCTACTTGTGTGTGAGCACGTTTTACTAATTTATGCCGTTGCTTGAAGCGTTCAGCCCAACCACGTGAAAACTTTAAATCTTTAGCATCTAAAACTTTACCCAGTTCTTTTGCTTTTTTTATGATCATAGATGTTGTTACAGCACCCCTTTCTTCTCTTCTCTTTTTAATGAACTTCAACAGTTCCTTTTCTAGTATAGGGTAGGTTACTTTTCGACCACGACCTTCAAGTACCCGTACTTGGTTGATATTTATTGTCTTTAATGGCTTCAAAGTCTTTTTTTTGCTTCCGCCATTCTTGAACACGTCTTCGGTCAACTTTGAAATATGAAGAAGCATGATGATTAGAGGTATCTTTGGCATACTTAATTACTTCAAGTTTGAACATGATAGTATAACTTCGCTTTGTTGTGCTCATATCGGAGTGAAATTGTATTGTACAAAAAACATCATGATCATATTTTATATTGTAAATGTTATGTGGTACAAAAAAAATCTAATTGGCAGTTTTTAAAGAAATGTGACTTATTTAAGCCTGCAAGTGATTCTATATATCTCCTTATAGCGAGCTAAATTTCTCCATATTGACGCAGTAATAAAGTAAATTACTATAGAAAATAGTCTTACATAAACCATAAATTTCAATGTCTATCTGTTTAAAAGGTAATTTTAAGATTTTGTAGTAAGGTTGAGCCTTCGTATCTTTAGGGTTAAAATCAAAAATTTAGTAACGATTAAGATAAGTATATGATTTAAAGTTCTAGAGATACGTATTTATATAAGTAAATTAACTTGTAGTATTACACGGGATGCCAAACCTTTGGTAATATTTCTAATTTTTTTTTTTGTAACGTTACTGTTGTCTATATAAAGGCACATTTGTGTATATCAATATAGTCACGGAGAAACAAACTCAACGCTTTAAAGATAAGAACTGTCTAATTTTTTTAAAATAAATTTTATCCATAGAAGAATTTAAGTAGTAGAAAATTTAAACAATATGATAATTTAATAAAAGAGAATCTTTTTTTTATTAAAAATAGCCAAGTGGTGAAGGGGTTAATGAATGCTTATAGCAATGCCTTCGCTCAGGTTTGTATTGTTTTTATTATGCTTAATTAGCAACGTTTATGAATTTTCACCCAACAGCACCTTCTTCAATGCTCGCTCTCCCAACTTCTGTACTAAAGCTTAACGATATTACTACAAGGTTACAGTTTCTTATTCTAAGAATCAAAGTGTCTGTTCAATATTACAAACCAAACTTTTATTTATTTTCAATCATGTGTGCTTACATCACAAAAATAAACTTTACATCACAGGTCCATCACAATAGACTCCATTGTTCTATAGTACAGTATTTGACATTTGGTATCATAATACAATGAAACCTATTTTCTATTTGCTAGTGGTATGTCTAAATTAAGCTGAAAAACACCAACTTAGAAAAAAAAAACTTGATAATGATAAAAATTGTAACCCGGAACTAATCCTATAACGTACAGTATGTACGTATGCTCACATATTTAGAATAGCGTTAAATTACTTTTTTTTTTTTTTTTTATCAAGGGAGGTCTTTCCTCTAGTTCTTTATTAGATAAAATTATGAATTATAACAGAGTT